CCCTCCCCCCTACTCCCCTCCGCCCTCCTCTCCTCCCCTCTGTCCTCTGCTCCTCCCCGCCCCCACCTCTCCCCCCCCAGGTTGCAAGCGGGATCGCAGGCAGTGGCCCACCCTCTCCCAACCCTCCCCCCTCCACTCCTCCCCTTCCCACCCCCTCACTCTCCAACTGCCCCGCTCTTCCTCCGCCCTCCGCTCCGCTCACTCCTCCGTTGCTCCTCCCCACTCTCCAACTGCCCCGCTCTTCCTCCGCCTCCGCTCTGCTCACTCCTCCGCGCATAATTGCCTCCTCTCCGCTAGCTTGCCCACCCTCCACTCCGCGCACGTGTGCATTCGTGCGCATGTACCTCCTCACGTAACTTCCCCGTGCACCTCCCCTCCGCCCGCTCTCTCCCTCTCTCCCGCGCTCGCGCGCGACCACAACTAAAAGGATTGCAAAGTGTGAACAGGTCTCTCTCAGGTGAAAAAAATATATAAAAAAATAAAGGCTTCCAAAGATCCAGCAGCAACGCATCGACTGCATCAACAACAGTGCACAGGTGAGCCTCAAAGCCACACCGACCCCCTCTCCCAAACCCCCAACAGCTCTTTTTTCCCCCTTTTTTGTTGCGAGCAAAGCCGCAACAGGCAACCTTGTTCTACTTGATTCTGTCGACGTCAAAGAGGGAGGCAAAGGGTCCATTTACTTCTCCAGACCCATATCATACAGGCAGAGAAGAGAGGAGGGAGGGAAGAGTGAACAGAAAGAGAACCCATCTGCTACTGGCCAGACCCTCTGGCAGGGCAGCATGGTGGCCCCATCACTCCAGGAGGCTAAACCAACACTCACTCCAAACCTTCCCTTGGTGTTTGCCACTCGTCTCTTTTTTCCCTTTTTTTTTTTCATCACTTTTGTCAATCGCCCTGGTGGTCCAAGCAAGGAACTGCACACCCTTCTTCAGAATGTCGGTCAACCGTATATGTGAATTTTGAACACAGAACAGCTCCCTAGGTTGGATTCGGAAAAAAAAAGGGAAAAAAAGGGAAAAAAATGGGGAAAAAAAAGAAAAAAAAAA